GGCCCCCCCAGGACTTTGGGCCGCGATCCTGACGAGGTCGTCCGCGGTGTTGGTGCTGAAGTGGCCCTGCCGCCGAGGCACATGCACTGTGATGGTAGTCCCCATGACTGCCCGCTACGCTATGCTCGCTGCTGCGGAAGCCGACCCGAACCAGACTAGGCGTCAGCCCACGTGCGTTGCGATGGTAGCCCCCGCGACTCCCCACTACGCCGTGAGCTTCACCTCCTTTGGCCGACTCCCCGATGCTCTCCAAGATTCAAGCAAGCGCGACCCCGAGGGCGCAGCGGGGGCGGCTGTCCCTCGTGCCCTAGCCGCGCAGCGGCCGTCGCAACCGCGGCACCTCGAAGCGCGGGCCCCGCCAGAGACCGGACATTAGGGTATCCATCCGCTCGCGCACGCAGAAGGACTACCACCAAGAGGCTTCGACGCGACGGCTCGCGGGCCATGGGGGGGCGCAGCCTGCGCGCCTGCCGTCCCGATGAAGACGCGCTGGTCATGGCGCCTCAGGCCGTCGAGCCCCTCGAAGTCTGCGGCCGACGCGTTGGCACAACTTGCCGTCGAAAGGGGTCTTCTGCGGAACGTCGCAAAAATGTTCTCGAGCTCCTGCCTGCATCGGTCGACCAGCCGTTGACGTTCTTCGGGGCGGGCCTCGAGGAGCCCGTCGAAGTCGGCGTCGCGCCGCCCCGCGCTCTGCCTCCAAGCGCTGGCGCCACAGGTCCGCCACGGTCGAGGCCAACGGCTGACATGGGGACCAGCTCTGCAGGATGGCATGCAACGGGAAGTTGTTCTCTGCGGCATCGCGCCGACAGGAGCCTCGCACTGCCCCTGCCAGCTGGCGTCGCCGGTCACTTGGAGGGCGTCGCCCTGGAACCAGTGCCTGGGCTGCCCAATCGCGAAGGTCATGGCGCGCGTCCTGGTAGTCGCACATGGCCTGGCGCTCTGGCACCGTGGGCGGCGGGGGCCCCATGTGTCGGCAGGTGGTCGTCGCGGGCCCCCTGGCAGCCCCTCTTCCGGCGTCTCCTCGGCCTGCTGTGCCCGCGCCTGCCCGTGCCAGTGGAGGTGGCGCCAGCCGCGCTCGCCATCGCCATGGCCCTCACCTCGCATGGCACAGCCGCGAAGGTCACGACCACGACCGCGAGGAGGGAAAGGCGGCCCCTCCGCGCCCGGCCGCGCAGCGGTCGTCACAACTGTCGCACCTCTAAGCGCAGGCCCCGCCTCGGAGCCCATTCGCCCGCGCGGAAGAACTGCCGCCAGGAGATTCCGACGCGACGACTTGTGGGCCAGGGGGGGGGGCTAGACGGGGCAGCGCGCCTTCCCGATGAGGCCGCCGCGCTGCTCTGCGAGGGGCCCGCCACCATCGGAGACCTCGCGCGCTGCTCGCCCTGAAGTCCCTCGGTGCCACTGCGACAGGTGGCGCCGAGGAGGCGCTGGATATTCTGGTCGAGTGCGCGCTAGCCTTCGAAAAGGCACTCGAGGGGGGCCGTGCTCAGCGCGGCACGCGCGGGCCCATCTGAGCGGCGGGCGGGGCCCGCGGCGGTTGGGCGCTGCAGGGGGCAGCCTCGGCAGTGCTGGCAGTCTCGCAGCGCGGGATGGCGGTGCCCGAGCGTGGCGCCGCGTGGTCAGGAAACCGCAGCCTGGGGCCGCGGGGGGCCGCTGCCGCCGTCGCCTGTCCTTCTGCCCGGCGGGCCTGCCTAGGTGCCGCTGGTCTCGGCCGCTCCAGGGGCCGATGCTGCGCGCCGTCTGCGCCTGGCAAAAGGATTGGGGGTGGGTCTCCCTGTCTCCGTAGGCTTAGCGCGGGAGGGCCTCACGGCGGCCTGGATGGCCCGGCCGTGCAGGAGGATGATGACTGCGGTGGCATGGCCCTCTGCGGTGCTGAGCGCGGCCTGCTCTGGCGGCGGTGGCAGCGGAGGGCTGTGAGGGGCCGGCGCGCCCGAGACCGCGCGCGCGAGCGCGGCGCAGATGCGGCTGGCCTGCTCGATCGCCTTGGGGGACCCCAGGTGCGATAGGTAGATGCCCCTCGCTGTCCGCTTGAGCGCCTCCGCAGTCTTGCGGGAGGTCGTGCCCTTGCAGTCCGCCCTGAGGCCCACGCCCGCGGCGGCGCCACGGGCCCCGCAGGTGCCGCGCAATTCGCCAGACGCCGCCGAGGAGCCCCAGGAGACCCCCAAGAGGTCCCCAAGAGGCCCTAAAGATGGCTCTGGGGCCGGCGGAATGAACGAAGCGACTAAATGACAAGCTGTGGGCAGGCCACTCCAGGATGCGGCGCGAATCGTGGACGACGCCCGCGCCCATGCAGACGGCGGCGCCGTGCGGAACCGCGCGGGCGCGGTCGAACGTGGCCCAGTCCGCTGAGGAGGCGTCGCAGGGGGCGAGGGCCATCTCCTCGAGCGCGGCCGAGGCGAAGAACTGGTGGCAGAGGAGGCACTTCTACTTGCCCTGCCCCAGCGTGAAGATCAGGTGCTCGGAGCTGTCGATGGCGTCCTGGAGAGGGGGTCGGCGGGCCACCTGCCCCGCTGCGGGCCTCTCCGTGAGCAAGGGGCTACCTCCAGCAGCGTCGAATAGCGCCTGCCTGGCACGGCGTCTGACCTGCGATGCGACCACGCCCCAGCGACCCGCGCGCGGAACGCTGACGCAGGCGCGGCCACTGGCGATATTGGCCACGAGGTTGGCGAGCTTGTCGGCGCAACAGTTGCCTGTGGCCAGGAACTGCGAGACGATGGGCTCGCCTTCATCCTCCTGATGCGAGGGGCTCCAGGTGACCGTGGCCCGCCTGTT